TACAGAAAGAACATAACATTTTTGATAGTCATGTCTCAAAGTTGTGTCTCAGTTTTTGGGGGGAACCTCCTACGTTAAAGGTTTCAGATCTGTTTCTGATTTTAAGATTACAATCATACCTGATTGTGGTTCACTTGGTTTTAAATATGGTTTGGGTTTAGATAACTTCATCACTACAGAAAGAACATAAAATTTCTGATAGCACTCAAAGTCATGTCTCAGTTTTTTATATTCTGGTTTTAAGATTTCAATCATATACCTGATTCTAGTTCATTTGGTTGCACAATTGGTTTGGGCTTGGATGACTTCATCACTACAGAAAGAACATAACATTTTTGATAGTCATGTCTCAAAGTTGTGTCTCAGTTTTTGATATTCTGGTTTTAAGATTTCAATCATATACCTGATTCTAGTTCATTTGGTTGCACAATTGGTTTGGGCTTGGATGACTTCATCACTACAGAAAGAACATAACATTTTTGATAGTCATGTCTCAAAGTTGTGTCTCAGTTTTTGATATTCTGGTTTTAAGATTTCAATCATATACCTGATTCTAGTTCATTTGGTTGTGCAATTGGTTTGGGCTTGGATAACGTCATCACTACAGAAAAAACATAAAATTTCTGATAGTCATGTCTCAGTTTTTTATATTCTGGTTTTACGATTTCAGTCATATACCTGATTCTAGTTCATTTGGTTGTGCAATTGGTTTTGGCTTGGATAACTTCATCACTACAGAAAGAACATAAAATTTCTGATAGTCATGTCTCAAAGTTGTGTCTCAGTTTTTGATATTCTGGTTTTAAGATTTCAGTCATATACCTGATTCTAGTTCATTTGGTTGTGCAATTGGTTTTGGCTTGGATGACTTCATCACTACAAAAAGAACATAACATTTTTGATAGTCATGTCTCAAAGTTGTGTCTCAGTTTTTGATACTCTGGTTTTCAATCATATACCTGATTCTAGTTCATTTGGTTGTGCAATTGGTTTGGGCTTGGATAACTTCATCACTACAGAAAGAACATAATTTTTTTTATAATCATGTCCCAAAGTTGTGTGTCAGACTCTCAGTTTTTGATACTCTGGTTTTAAGATTTCAATCATATACCTGATTCTAGTTCATTTGATTGTACATTTGGTTTGCGCTTGGATGACTTCATCACTACAGAAAGAACATGAATTTTTTGATAGTCATGTCTCTGAGTCGCGTCTCAGTTTTTGATATTCTGCATGGTTTTAAGATTACAATCATACCTGATTGTGCTTCACTTGGTTTTAAAAATGGTTTGGGCTTGGATGACTTCATAACTACAGCAAGAACATAAAATTTCTAATAGTCATGTCTCAAAGTCATGATTTCAATCATGCCTGACTCTGATTCGATTAGCGTTTCTCACGCCGCCATTTCGGAGTGGCATTTCAGCCGAAGTCTGCGAGATAAGTCCATATAACAGCGGCTTTTTATAATTTTTTTGACGAATGATGGTAAATTTGCTTTGTAAATGGTTAGTTTATTTTGAAAAATTGCTTTTCATATTATTTTAATTGTCTGCATTGGTTAACGAGAATTAGATGCCACCCAAAAATGACGGATATTCGTCATCGTGAGAAAGGCTAATTGGTTGTACAACTGGTTTGGGTTTGGATGACTTCACCACTAGAGAAAACATATAAAATTCTGGATAGTCATGTTTTATTCAGCCCATAGCTGCACACATTAGGAAACCATAGAGCGCCGTCTGAAACATTAGTGGCATTTCATTTCTGAACAGTGTTGTAGTGTACCTTGTTTTGTCTCGTTCTGTGGGCATGGTTGAGCCACGACAAGGAGTTCGGAAGTGAGGGAACGCGCTATATTGTCTTTATAGTCATCAAAGAAGAGCGGAGCGCGGGGATCCAGAGGTGTGGACAGTTTCCAAGAGCGGTGTGAGAACAATTTAAAAGTTGTGTACGTTTCTTTCCTCTCCGCATGATCCATTAAAAATGTTGCGTCATTTTCTGGAAAAGGAAAAAAGATCAAGATTAACATTTCGTTAGCGCAACATTACATGTGAATGTGATCAAAAGCGCTTTATATCAAGTATTACACGCTTACCTAATTACATACTTAGCCTATAGGCTATTTTAAAGTGCCTATGACACGAAATTTCACCCCATTTTTTTATGATTGCATTGTAAAGATCACTTAAAATGACTTAATAATAACGGCTTATTGACCTCGCTTGAAATATCAGACCGAGGTTTTTTAGTATGGACCGAGCGACGAAGGAGCGAGGTCCATGCAAAAAAACAGAGGTCTTATATTTCACAGTACAGACCGAACAAGCGAGGTCAATAGTCGTTTTTTTATATGGCTGAACTGTGAGCATATGCTTTTCGCGCGAATTAAATCGGCTATCGTCAGTTTCACTGGGTAACAATATACGGTAGGCATGCATGCTCAATCAAAAACAATTTGGTTGTTTGACATTTTTATCTCTACATATTAATGACACACAATTGGAAAATTAAAAAGCAAAATTTTTTTCTGTTTGCAAAGCAAAAATTTCCCGCCAGATAAACGACATCCGGGACACCGGTCCAGATACGGAAAATACGGACCACGGTCCGGATATGGGTTTTTACGGACCGCTTGTCAACCAATCAGAATAGAGAATTTTAAAAAGTCATATAATAAATTCTTTTATAGAATTTTGGTAACTTGCTTCCTTTGCAAGATATTCAACTTTGTTTCATATGCAAATATCACCGGTGTGACATCACATCGCATAATGACATTTTGAAAACGCAATATTTTACCTTGATAAAATATTTTTACAAACAAATACAGTGGGTTAATTACCAGTTATGAAATTAATACATATACAAGGGCAATTTTTAAGTTTTTTGGATACGTATTCTTTAAGAAAACTATACTTTTCTGAAAACTCATTATGTGATGTGATGTCACACCGGTGATATTTGCATATGAAACAAAGTTGAATATCTTGAAAATGAAGCAAGTTACCAAAATTCTATAAAATAAATTATTAAGTCATTTTAAGTGATCTTTACAATGCAACCATAAACATTTGGGGTGAAATTTCGTGTCATAGGCACTTTTCCAATTCAATGACTTTCCAGGATTTTCAAGGCCCGCGGACACCTTGGATATTACTTTCATTTAACTGTGTTTATCCTAACCCACCCTGTCAACTTTCCCTGTGGGAGAAAACCGGAGCGCCCAGAGAAAACCCATGACTTTCGGCAGAGCGTGGCCTGCCCCCACCGAGCTCCACACAAAAGTTAACACATTCACGCACTAGACTCTTCCAAATAAAATTCACGGCTTTATTTACACTGGATAACTTTCACATTTCTGCCTCGGGTTTCTGTGGCACAATGACAATTAGGGATCAGTCATTATTTCTTCTTCTTCTTCTCCTTCTTCTTCTTCAAATATATTTACGCACAGTGACCTTTCAGTTTCCTGTTTTTCAAAGGGCCATGCATGCTTTAATCTATTTACATGAATTAATTTGAGTAAAAATCTAAGAATGATACAAATTATATTAAGGCGCAAAAATTTCAATACTCATGCAAGATATTTATACAAGAAGGTATTTCTAAACATTATAACAGCCAACAACATGTTTCCATTGCAAATAAATTTTGCACTGATGTTTCCATCATTAATTTTACCTGTTCTGAATTAATAGCTTGAATGAATTGAAAATATATATATATATAATAGATGGTTCCAGATACAGAGGAAATTTTGATCTAGAGAAGAAGAACGAAACCATTACCATAGCTGGAAAGAGCATTTTAAAATGAGTAAAATTGCACAGTTTGGTTGCGAATTGTTGTAAAAAGAGAAAAATGTAGCCGTGTGAAGTTCGCAAATTTTGTATATATTTGCATTATACACCGGAAAAATAACCATTTTTCGGCCGAAAGTGGTTATTATTCCCGCGCGTAATACAAATATATACAAAATTTGCGAACTTCACAGGGCTATATTTTCTTCATTTTCCCACCTTTAGCAACCAATCTTTGCAGTTTTACTCATTCTAAGACGCTCTTTCTAGCTGTGGTGTTGGATTTCGTTCTTCTTGCCTTGATCAAAATTTAGTCTATAGCTGGAATCATCCATTGTCTCAACCCATTGAACTATAAATAAACTGGAAGGTTAACTGCTATGATGAAGGCCTATGATTTGATGAAGCCAAAATAGTTTTTCTGAGTTATGAGCAGAATTACTTGACCCCAAACGTTCGGCTATATATCAAATTGAAGCTATTGAAAATTGCTATTCGGTGTGGAAATTTCAAGACTTCAGCGAAAAGAAAAATATTTAAAAAATACAAAAACAACTGCAAAACGGCAAATTATCGGTAATTATGTTTGTAATTTTTCAGTACTTTCCTTTTAGCTAAAATCTTGAAATTTCTACACCAAATAGCGTTTTTCAATAGCTTTAATTTGATATATAGCCCAACGTTCAGTGTTGAGTATTTCTGCTCATAACTCAGAAAAACTTAAATGCACTGGCTTCAATTTCCCCCCCTGAGTTAGCCTTCCAGTTTATTTATAGTTCAATGTCTCAACCTCGTTCCCAGGAAGGGCCTGGGAACGAGGTTGCCATTGTCTACGATTTCACGAGCCGAGATTACTCCGCGGTATGAGAAACAACTTTTGGGGACGTTTTTGGTTTTGGTAACTGGTAAGTTGAGTATACGGCAGAGGAGTGGCACCGAAGAGAAAAGGGAGTATATTTATATTATGTTATATTCTGTAATTCTTCCTTTGCTAAACTTACTGAAGTCCTCGGTCGACTGTTTTTCCTCCAAGATTATCGTGTGATTTTCTCTTCGTAAATATTTTCCTGGATATCTCCGCGACTCCAACGCAAACAATCCGGGGGCATTAATAAAACTCCCATGTCTCACTTGAAATAACTCTGGATCTTTGGAGAAATATACGCCGCTACTATGGTTACTGGAAAGGCCTCGAATATTATCCACATATTCTGAGAAATCTGCCTCGCTATTAAACGATGATTGGTTGACGAATATCACAACAGCACATCTCGACTTGGGTGATCCTAAAAATGAATTTCGAGACAAGTCGTTTGGTGTAAGCCAATCAGTAGACAATTTCCATTATGGAGTAATTTTAAAACTAAGCAAAGAGATGCAAATCAATCACCACAGCTATAGAAAGAACATACTAAAATTAGTAAAATTGCAAAGTTTGGTTGCGAAATGTTGTAAAATGCGGAAAATATAGCCTTGCAAAGTTTGCAAATTTTGTATACTTTGCATTGCGTGCGGAAATTGCTACCATTTTCGGTTCCGCACGCAATACAAAGTATATACAAAACTTGCAAGGCTATATTTTCCGCATTTTACAACATTTTGCAACCAAACTTTGCAATTTTACTAATTTTAGTATGTTTACTTTTTTTTGTATACTTTTTTTTGTTTCTTGCTAAGATAAAAATTAGTCTATTAATGGGAATTGTCTATTATAGATATAATAAAATAATAGACATAATTAATATATATAATATAATTTAGATATAATAAATGGCGCTATAGACAGAATAAAATAACAAAAATTGTAACTTAATGCGTTTAAAATTATCAACGAATATAATACACCATAAAATGATCATGTTTAAATGTGATTAAAATGAAGAAGGATTATACGGAATATTTCATACCTTCCGAGGATCGTATAATACTCCCGAGATAAAATAACACAAATATCGTAAAAAGCATTTTACTTCCTTGTGGAAGGTCACAGCTTCAAAGATTTCGCTCACATATCGTTTGATAAGCATACTAGCCATCTCGTAACATTGGTTTTTGAAGCAAAGTATATCATTTTAAATAGTGAGTGCTTTATTTTTCAATTCTAGCGATATTTTACGCTCGGTTGATTTTGATGTGTATAGAGGTAGCGAGCCGTGAAATTTTTTACTTTATCCACCTGCATGTCTATTATGGCTAAAGTAAAGGCCTGTTTTATACGTCGAATGCAATTCAAACAATAGATAATGAAGCTTAATGAGGTTTATCATCTCATTATCTATTGTCTTAATTGCATTCGACGCGACCAAAATTCGACTGCTCTTTTGGCCTTGGACAAACTGATCATGCAGTATGATTCGACACAAAGAGTTTCGTATGTTGATATATATACTTAACTTAACTGGTATATAACTAACCTGACTCCGTGACCGGAGTTCACTATATGAATGAGTTTTGCATGATCGTGTCTAAGATAAGTATAAGATTATAAATAAACGATGACCAGGGTCAGGGACCGGTTGTATAAAAAAGTTTTTAAAGTTAATAACTATATAGTTAACCAATCAGACTCGCGGATTTTAGATTACAGAATGGGAAGTTAAAAAGTAGTAATTAAGAGTTGTATACAACCGTCCCCCGATTTGGATGTACAGCAAAGTTAGCTTTGATAAATGCTATAGGCTGAACCGCGTACTACGAACGAAGTCCTGCCAAGGAGTGCAAGTCAATGTAAATTAGCCATTTCCAAATCAAGCAGAGGACTGGAGTCGCTTGTTTGGAGGGACAAAAAAAAAAACAATTTGCCGAATATGGCATCTAGGAAGTTTTTCTACATTCCTAAAGTTATTTGTGCAGCCTGAAACGCAACAATTATAATAAGGCATCTTTTAATATATATTTAGCTCGCTCACTATAACTTCTTGTCCCTCCAAACCAATCTCGAAACCCGAACCTGCAATCCTCTGTGGAGGATTGCTGGCTCTGCTTTCGAGATTGCCTATAAACGTTCCTCCAAACATCAACTAGACCCAGTCTTCTGCTCGATTGGGAAATGGCTAATTGGTTTCCATGCAATTGTAGACTCTCAATCACTCAGCGTAACTATTTTATCACATGCAGATTCTTACCATGCAGTTAGCACTACGTCTGTTGTCGTTGAATAAACTCCCAGTGTGTTGCCACAGCCCATTTACGTCGAAGTGGCATTCAATGTTCAAAACGTCCAACTACAAAGAAGAATTCTAGAAAGAAACGAGCTACACAGCAAACACAATATGCAACGACAGGCACAACGATGTAAAAAAATGGGGCGCGCAACAACAATAATCTATCTTATTACTTATCAATTAGCCTTTCCCAAAAGAGATCAACAGTGCGTTCTGGGATCGTTTGATTTTTAAGAAAAATTAAAAAATCAAGGAGGGACAAAATATATCAACTTTTTAGACGACCAAAAATGAAATATCTCCTTTTCACATTAAACTTTTAATTTAAATTTGTGCTGCCATATTTCTTGTCCCTCCAACACGGGATTTGCGCGACTAGACCAAGGACCTTGGGAAATGGCTAATTGCCAAGTTCGTAGTTTTTTTACTCTGCATATAAGAGCTTTTGTGATTTACATCCCGATTTTATTTAACGTTTAGTAATGATTGAAAGCCATGTTTCGTTTTCCGGCATGATTTAATTATCTGGTTTACATTATATTTTTGAGTATGTAGACTATTACAATTTACATGCCCAACTACTCAAGTTTGCAAAGTTACATTTGAATGACTAATATACTGCATCATAAGTGATAACGAAAATAAACAAGACAAGGACTTGATAACGCTTTCTATACTAATCAAAAAATATCATCAATTCCCCTTTAATGAAACAATTAATATCCCTTAGGGCAATCACAAATTATCCTCTTGAATTATCCAACTAATCACTACAGTTTTGGCTGGTACGCCTAAATGTCAATATATATGCACGTGTTATTACTAAGCACAATTGAAGCTTAAACCAGCAGTCGTGCCAGCATCTTCGCATTCTTGTTCTCTCAGGGTATCGTGAAAAACTGTGTTTTGTGATACATCACCTCTATTCCCCGAGTAAATTACTCCTACTTGAAGATTATTTCGTTTGTATATTGGCCTAAAGCTGCCCACTTTACCAACAAATACGTTATATCCGCCTTCTGTATGAATCCTTATAAACTCCTGTGTCCCACTGAACCGTCCATCTACAAGTGGAGTGATGGTGACGAGCACACCTCTCGCCTTTGATGCTGGACATTTGAATTCGGCACAAGTTGAAATATTTTGTGATTTTGCTGTCGAAACTATCGTGAAACCTTCTTCAACGTGTGGATTTTTTGAAACATCAGTACTTTTAACATGAAACGATACTGCTTTGTTGCGACAAGAATTCTCTGTGGTAATTTTTACATAGCATACGCTTAGTTCCAGCTTTTTATGCCATTTAATGTCTCCAGTCGAAATACCACTTCCACCTTGATTAGAAACATCAAATATCAAACCATTTTGATCCCGGCTAACTGAGCAAGACCTGTAATTTCTAAAGAAAGGCCCCCCACTCGTCGGATTTAAAATATCTTGTATAGTTATTCGATTGCTAAATCGATCCGCTGCATTTTCAGATTTGTGATACGTAATACCATGGTTGTCTTTCAAAGCGGTGACGATGTTATTGTCATTGGGTTTAAGAATTTTCTGACCAAATTCGGCCTGAATTGTAAGATTTCGACAAAATGTTAGTATGCACGACGATGCTCCGGCCGACATAGAATAGTCATAATATCTATTCAGTCCGCCTTGCCTAGATACTGCTGTGATTTTCACTGATTGTGATGTTGCAGCAAATGCGTTGTTATCCACTATGATTTTCACAACGCATATATTACCCAACTTATCTATATTAACAAGACGTTTGAAAAGGGTATGATCAATTTTTCCGAAGTAAAACTTTCTTCCCGATCTTTTAGACCTGCGAGACTCGTGTGGTTGCAAGCCAGAATCCATGATACGCCAACGTCCAGTCTTCTCGTCCATATACCACAGCTTTATCTCTTCAGCTTCTTTTTCAGTAATATTGTACTGATCTAGATCTAAATTAACATCTACGGGTGCATTTGACTGCAACGGTTTGCCGTTTAAATCCGTGAAATCTATTTTCAACACTCCGAAGGTCTCGAGTAACTGTTGCTCGCCGTCATCACTAACAGCCGTAAAATCTCCGTCTGCTTCTTGGACTTGAGTTGCATTTCTTGGATCAGTAAAACTCACTTCCAAGTTTGCAGTTCCGTTGTAGATTTCACCACCTTCTGTCATCAGGCTTTGTGGAGGCAAAGATAGGACTACAGGGGCAGATTGTCCTTCACTACTGTTTGAAGATCCCATGGGTATTTCAATTGTTTCTGAAGCATTAATTAACATAGGCTGAGGACGTGGTTTCATTCTAACGTTGATGAATGTTTCGCGTCCAGGTACAACCGCTACGACTTTTGTCAAATCTTGAAAGTCATTGTATCTATCTTTTCCCTTGAAATTGAGAACAATGCGTGTTAGGTCACCGCGCATTGTGAAGAAAAAATCTCCATTCTTACCAGCTTGTGTCAGGTATTTCCCAGCGTGGTAAATATATCCATACTTGAAAGGAAGATTGTTTGGACCTCCTGTTGCTATTCCGTTTACCGTGGACACTTTGGGTGAGCAGGGACCACAACCACAACTTATTATGCGTGTTATATTAAAGGAAATTCCGGCAAAGCAGCGAATAACAATACTCTTTTCCGCCAAGGATTGGCAACAATAATTGTCAAAGCAGTTGTGTGAAGAAAACAAACTGTTTGAAATGCAACTTTCATCGCCACATCGTCCAATATCAACGATTGAAGAGTTGGTTTCTGCATCAACGCACCCCGGCGGCAGCGTGGTCGTTTCTTGTGATGGCCTCTCACTGCAGCTGTCGTTTTTTGCTGTAAAATTAGAAAAAATTGCCACGAAATGAAAAAATAATCGGACTGACGGAAGGAAAATTTCCTACACCTGCCTTCATCGTTTATAAGTACTGTATTGTTTTTTTATTGTGTTGTGAATAAGAACACCGCATTTATTTATTCGGCAAAGCTTTTGGTGACTAAGATATGCAAACCTAAATTATACAAGGGACTTATTATAGATAGCGATCTGTTTCAGTATATACTGCTAATTATGAAATTATCGCATCTCTTATGCAGTAACGAAGGCACGAATACCCATGCAGGTAATTTAGTTTGCCACGCCTCTGCATGAGCACCGTGCGATATGGGGATGAAATGGGAATGGAGGACGATATGGAGGGAATGGAAAGTGGGCTATTTCACTCCATGATTTTATCAAGTTCTTTGTAAATGGCCTTAAATAACTTAGAAATAATCCTGTTGGTGCTAATTTAAGATTCCTGGTAAAATTTTACTAGGGTGTTTTAACAGCGCACAAGTTTAGCTAAGTCCTTACTGAGCATTAGATTCGGTTTGTAATGCCATGATTTTAAATTCTCGTGAATAATGATAATTCATAAATAACGATCATCGAAAGACATAAACTTTATTACTTATTCGCATGCATCCGATCTGCTCATTCTTTATGATACCTGACATAATCTCAACTTACTAATAACTTTGATTTTGGCGGCATTAGAAAATTCTGCTCCATAGTCGTTGTACACTCTGCATTTTACTTCTCCAATCATATTTCTGTGCAGTCGAGGTATGATTAATTTACTGCTTTCGCTCTCGTCTTGTTGGTACTCGGTACTCGCTTACTGAACGGCCATTCAAGATCCTTTTCAGGGCAAGAAAAGAAATTCATGTTGAGTAAGAATAAAAACCCTTGAAAACAGAGTTTTTTTCAGGATTTTCTCTTGGGTCCGTTTTTGCAGAGAAGATTGAGTTTAGCTAAACAGATGGGGTGGTTGCAACCCCCCCCCCCTACCGGGGGGCTGACACGTGTACTCAATAAATGTTGTTGAGACTGAATGTGTTAAAGCAGGGGCACTGAGGGACACTGTAAACTGGTTAAAGAAGGCGTGAGATGAATTCCAGCGATTTTTTCTTAATTGTCGGGTTTCCAACTGAAAACTAATTTCCACACGTCACGAATTTAACTCAAACAACTTCATTTTTACTGCACTGAAACTTTGGTGAGAAGATTGAGTTTCAAAACTCGATTCAAGATTGAGTTTTTGGGGCCGTTTAACGGTCCTAAAAAATCCCTGAAAAAGAGCCTGAAAGATCAGTTCGGGCAATTTGCTAATCTATTTCGCATTCTGACATAATTCTGTAAAATCGTCCCCAATGTACATGGAATGGAACTTTCGAGACTCTAGATTCTCCAGATTAAAAAGTGGGGAAAATGACCCAGAGTTGGAGGGTTTTGTGAGTGGAAATTACTGTATATCAAATCAATTTCTATCAGTGATTACTATATACACATTTCTATAGTTGGTATTCGATAATTGTGCTTTTGGGGCTAGACATGGGGTTGTCGTATAAAGCACTGGTCGTAAGCCTTTTTGTTTTCACCGGCCAGCTCTTCACGTTATTCTATGACTACGCCATATAAAACGACACTCTTCCTCAATGCTTATAGGCCCAAGTTACTTGGCCAAACCAAAATTCTCTTCGAAAGTTCTCTTCAAATCAAACAAAACTGCATGGTCAGTCCGACTAATAATCTTCATAACTAAAGACTTGTTTCATTGACTTCACACAAATAGTGGCTAGTTCTCTCTTACCATTCATATTTAATGTCGGGTTTTCCAACACCAGCGCAGCATAACGTCATAGTTTGATTTTCAACACGAATTTTGCTTTCAGGGTGAACTGTTACTTCTGGGAAAACTATATAGACAAGTGAAATTAATTGATATTTAGACAACACTCTGAAATATGAGATCTCTGAAACCTTTAAAACGGCTCGGAGTCATTATAATATCACCACAGAGAAAAGATAGTACAGAGAAGAAACACGCAGCATATTATGTCACGCCGACATATTCATTCTTAAACTATAGAAAATTATATTAATTCACTATTTTATTAAATTTTGACCATGTAGAGAAAAAAACTATACATATTCTAGAAGTTTTCATGTTTTTTAATGCAAGAGTTATACTTTGAATTTATATCATTCGCTGCTTTTTTTATATATGAGTATCTGAAACTCCAGCCAGTGCTTTTCACGATTTTAATAAGGAGTAGATAGGGAAAAAAACAAACTTTTGCAAAATAAAATGTTATGTTAACACTTTTAATAAAAGGAAATCAATAAAAGTGATCGCTTACCGTTATTCTACAATAATTTATTGAACAAAATTTCCATGGGTACTTCATTTTTAAAAAAAAAGCGATTTTCACCTTTCGAACGGTGTTTTTCCTATCTATTGCTATGAAATTTCAGTGACTGCACTGGCTGGAAGATTTTGCGTGGCGCGTGGAACCTGCGTGACACAATGTTATCGAGGTGTCTGTTTCCTCTCTGTACTATCTCTTCTCTGTGATATCACTGTACATGCATGATGTTTCACGAAGTATGGATGATCGCCAATAAGCAAGGAACGCGGGCGCGAAGGTGGCAGAAGAAGGGAGAAAATAAAGGGTTGAAACATCAACAAGTCATCGATTGATGCGCTCCATGAGTAGCTTGTTCTCCTGCAATTTCAGAGGGGGACCCCCACTGTGAGTTATGATTGAAATAATATTGTATTTATTTTAAGAAACTACTTGAATCTTATGATCATTGATTATTTATTCTCTCGAAATTCTGTAAACCTTTTAAACGGCTCGGATATTACCCTGGGTGCCAGAGGTTCTTCTTCGCCGTATTTTATCCCCGTATATCCTCTATTAGTATAAACCTACTAGTAGGCTATCAGATATCGTGCCTTCTGATTGGCTACGCTACTAGTAGGCTATTAGTGATAGCCTACTAATAGAAAATTCAAAATGGCGGAAAATTCGCGTTTTGCACTTTTGCCGAAGTGTCTGATGATTTTTTGGACGACTTGTTGAACAATTCTGCACTAAAAAACCCCGAAAAAAGCAACAGAAATATGGAATGGCAATTTTTAAGGATAAGAAAATAGACAAAATAACATACACTCAATGAAATTTTAAAATTAAAACTGAATTTTGTAAAACATTTTACGCGAACAAAAATGAAAATATTTGTTTACCTTTAATGGTTTTATAATGTTTTTTTTTGTGTATTTTTGTATTGTGTTTGCAGTCTAGTTGTAAATTAATGTTAAAGTTTATACTAAAACAATTAGACAACTCGGCCTCGTTGTCTATGAACAAATAGTCAACTCGGCTTCGCCTCGTTGACTTTTTGCTCATAAACAACTCGACCTCGTTGTCTAATTGTTAATTATCCCCCTTTAGGAGCGTGGAAGCTTGACGCCACGAAAACAAGCTACTCCTGAAACACATCGTTCTAACACATTATACATTTGAGCGTTTCATATAAAATATACGAAAAAATCAATCGTGTATTAAAGGGGTCCTACAGTCATTTTTTAGTCGAAAAGCCACCTTAAGTAGGGGACTCCACGGAGATTCGTTTGGCTGTATCTTACATGCAGTATCCATGAGTATGAGTACTTCTGCACACCGGAAGACGCATGCATGCCGTGGTGCGCATGCCAAGTAGCAACAGTAACAAAAATACTTATATATTTATTGACTAAAAAATGACTGTAGGGCCCCTTTGAATCTACTATATCAGCTATGAAGATATGTCCGAAAAGACATAGAATCTGCCAAAAAATATTCGAAACAGAAATAAATTGTGAATTTTAAGGCATTTTGAAATGTCATCCCGTCGATGGTTTCAACCATTTCAATTCTTTCTTCTTCCGTCGCCTTCGACTTTTCGCGCCCGCGTTCCTTGTCGGCGATCATCTGTACTTCTTGAAACGTCATGTACAGTAATATTATAATGACTCCAAGCCGTTTAAAAGGTTTACAGAACTTCGTGAGAATAAATAATCAATGATCAAGGGATTCAAGTAGTTTCTTTAAAATAAATACAATATTATTTCAATCATATTCTCTGGGGTAACTTCCACAAATTGCATCCAAGGGGGTTCCAAATTTTTTATACCTTAAAGGGATTTTAAGGGGACCCCTCAATAGGGGGTGCCCATATTAAATGGAACGGCCCAATTCGTAAAGACGAAATATAATAATATAAATTCATCACCTATCGCTTCTAAACTTGCAGAAAGAGTGAACGTAGTGGAATCAATCTTCTTAGCGTTTAATACTTGTGGTAAATATCCGTTTCGCTCCACAATGATCTTCTCCTGTGCAATACAAATTCCTTGCAACTTAAAGTGTCCAGCGATATTTGTTCTGGCAAGAATGTTGAAGGGGAACTCGGAAAGGGCTATAGTTGCATCGTTCAAAAGGACACCATCCTCATTCTTTACAGTTCCATTTACAGTGACGTTGGTACAAACGCAGGCATCACAAGCACTATTCAAGTGACCTATTGAGCACGGTTTTGTACAATCTGAAAGAATAAAACAAGTTATTTACATATATCTTACATATACCTGCTGGAAGGGGGCCGTACAGTACTGAAAAATATTTTTCTCGAGGTCTCAGAAGTGGCCTGAGACCAAAGACCCAATACGTACCAACCTCTTAATTAAATTCCTAAAAAATTGCAACGTTGTGCATGAACTACGCTTGAGATCAGTTGTGTTTTAATACTTTGGTCTTTTTCGAAGTATAGCTGAATATAATATGCTGAGCAAATACATGTGGTGCTGGTCAACGCTTCTTCGTTGTTTGTGTCAAAGGGATATTTGCTTCTTCGCATTTTAGTGGGAGTATTTCGGGTTTAAAACAAACTACCGCTTTGTTTACCTTGTAACTGTAAACAAAAATGTATCGCTAAAAAATAACTTTTTGCATGGACCACGAAAGTGACCATGAACAAGAAAGATATCGTTAAAGGCTGCCTGCCCACGCAACCAATCAGATTGCAGGAAATCAAAAAAACATTACCACATGTATGCACAGATATGTTAGTAGAGAAATATAAATTATAAACTGTATCAGAAACGATAAATGAAAAGCGATGATTGGAAGAAAGAAAAAATATATATATCGCCATTTCTATACTCACCGGGACATTTCCAAGTGGAGCAGTTTCTGTACAATACATTACTGCCAAAACAATTCGCGATAACATTTGGGATACTAGGTTTTCCACACATTCTTTTCCGTGTCTGCATACCTCCACCGCACGATGTAGAACACACTGACCATCCCTGCCACGTGGACCACGAAGTTTCTTTCATTGGAGATAAATGAAAAACATGCATTATGCACTAGTTATTACTTACTATATGGCAAGCATCATAGAGATTATAAATAACACTAGAGGAGGCATCGAGTTTAAAAATTGGGAACGCAGCTAATGGGGGGCAAATTCAAGTCCCGGATATAAAATCGTGCTCTATTGGCTGATTTGAAACTCGTCACCAATGGGAACACGAGTGCACATCCGGGACTTGAATTTGCCCCCCAATAGTCGCGTTCCCTCTTTTTTTTTACTGAATTAAGATTACAATGCCTCCTCTAGTGTTATTTATAATCTCTATGGCAAGCATCACTTCCGGTGAAATGGCGGGTTGTCATTGGCTGAGAAGCACTTTCAGCGGTCCGCGTGCATTTTAAAACAAAACAACAATACTAATTGAAAATTTGAAAATCATAATTTCAAACATCATTAATAATTCATAAGCTTATTGGCAAGTCATGTCAACCATAATATGTCACGTGCAGTGGCTTTAAACCTGATAAAACACTCCTAATTAAGATACTTTATATAAAGAATACTAATAAGGCAGTATCTATTGTAGTTGTGTCCTCATTAGTATTCTTTATATAAAGAATACTAATAAGGCAGTAAATCTATTGAATTTGTAGTCGTGTTTGAAGCCGTTTAATAAACTCGCAGGTCGTGTTTTATTAGGTCTAAAGTCACTCGTGCTCCGCGCTCGTGACTTGAAACCTAATAAAACACTCCTGCTCGTTTATTAAACAGTAGTACTTAATCAGTTATTAATAAGATATCTGCAAATGGTTTTTAGTGGGAAAAAAGGAATACATTGGTATTTTTTGTTTTCTTTGACCAAATGTATACCACGCTACTATAATATGCATTTCTTGTTTGTTTCACGTATAAATACCTATAAATGCCATATAATAAACTTCTTATTAACCTCGCTTGCTTGGAATGTACAGAGAAATATCGGACCTCGGTCTTTTTGTACAAACCTCCCCTATGGGCTTAGCCTGCATGGCAGGCGGTCCTCAAAATCGGGCAAGCCTGGGATTTTAGACCGCCTGCCATGCAGGCTACTATAGGCTAAGTCTGTACAAAAAAGACCCAAAAATCGATAACATTTTCGATAACATATTGTATACCAAAAATTATTAAAACCACTGAGTATTTTAGCAAAATACAAAACAAGTGAAACTCCAAAAATTGATAACATTTTTATTTATCTAGCCTACGACTTTCGACTATATTTCAGTCATCATCAGGATAAATTAACTAGGTTATACATCAAAAGCAGTATTTATATGAAGAAATATGATACAATCATTAGGTTGATAATTAATGAATTAATTAAATTTTAGGACTTAAATCATGGACTTAAAGCTTCTGAAAAACTAATCATATTTAATTAATTTCATTAATAATTAACCTAATGATTGTATCATGTATCTTCATATAAATACTGCTTTTGATGTATAACCTAGCTAGTTTATCCTGATGATCAATGAAATATAGTCGAAAGTCGTAGGCTAGATAAATAAAAATGTTATCAATTTTTGGAGTTTCACTTGTTTTGTATTTTGCTAAAATACTCAGTGGTTTTAATAATTTTTGGTATACAATATTCGGGTCATAACAAGAAGAAATAAAATGTAACTTTGTAAACCTCATCTTGGTCAACTATTTCACTGTCATAAATGTCGGATATGATGCTACTATAATGTACAGTATAGATCAATTTTAGCAGCAAAAAAGCAAAGGCAAACTAATTTGCTGTAGATAATACCTCACGCGACCTTTCTGACCAAAGCAGACTTGAATTAAATAATTCCTGGTGCATGGATCAACAGAGGATTTATGTTAAAAGGTGATAAGTAGGGCTATACTATACGGCAGAAAGTGTACCAGTCATGCCACGCATTCATAAATATGATATTTTAAAATGGTTGTTTAACTCACCTATGATTACCTCACTGCTTGTTGGTACTGGGTAAGATGTTCTCGATGGTGAAATACTTTCCACCGATGAACCTTAAAAGAAAATTAGAACCTTTTCATAACAAATTTATAAATTTCTGATGATAAAAAGTACGCTCGCTATAACTCGGTTAATTAATACAATGTAAGCTAATAATCTGAACTCACCCATGGCCAAGATTTTCGATTAGTAATATCTTAAGTTCATGTTCTATTATTTTATTGTATAATCATGTTATAATGAGGGGAAATGCATATAACAACTAAGGTTTTGGCCTGTTTACATATGTGACCAATGAATGTCATCGTACGTATATATGGGTTTATAGTAACACCAAACCCTGGCATTTAGGCTAGTAATTTTTGCGTGGTCTCTACCAAGACCAGGCAAAAGAAAAGGTGTAACTATTTTATCTAATTGAAGCCCGAAATCATGGTGTATACTGTTTAATTTTTTGTACCAAGCACATAAATTAATACAACTTATAAAAGTAAAACTTGTTTTGGATACCGAAAATGCCAATAAAGGATAAATAAATGAATTACAGGCATTGACACGGACTTTATAACAACGTAATATTCACGACCAAAACCCAACTTTTGCCACATCGGAATAATTTGTCCGCAATCCGCATTTCTACCAAACCCTCATAAAGCAATTTTCTTGGACTTGGATCAGCTGCGTACACATGCACATGCAGCACCAGATGAATTCATGCACAGTTAATCACGGTATGAGTTCGGCGCGTAAGAGCAAATGACAAGAGACAAATCTGCGTGTGGTTCCGCGGGAATTACGTATAGTTTTTGTTTCAACTTGTTTTCTGAGGCTGGCAAATTATCTAGAGTCGATACATTATTACATTACATTATTATTCAGCTCCCTCTCCATGCATTGGGGCTTTTCATTGAACGATTACATCAACTATTGCGATTATTTATGTTATTTACTTAGCCTACACGGCTAAAAACGTACATGCAGTGTCAGTGTGTTCCAAGTTGATATCGACAGGCGTTAACAATGTTGCGGCCAGCTATGAACAAGTTGTCAACCATGTTGTTCCAAGTTGTTACAGTTGAACAACGGAATGCTGTAAAGGCCTAGGAAGCGAAAAGGCCGAGGAACTAGGCTAGTAAAAGCCCACTTCCACTCAAGAAAAATTTCCACGGACAAAAGAAAATTTTCAGGCAATATCATTGTTAAAAGTTGAAAATTTTCAACTTCAAAAGTCGGCCCGCGATCACATTTTATAAAATTTTCTTTCCGCGGAAAATTTTCCTGAGTGTCGTAGTGGGCAGCACAACCTTCTTCACGCCTGTTGATATCAACCTGGAACAAGTTGTTGATTTTCTCAATTTTTACGCGTGTAGACTACAGTCGAACCCCTATTAAGCGGACACCTTCGGGACTTCGCCTAAGTGTCCGCTTAAAAGGGGTGTCCGCTTAAAAGGGGTATGTAGAAAAACACAGCAGGAGGCAAAGATGTGTAATTAGGTGTGTAATTTGGGTATCAAAACAGTAAAAAATATCTAGCAAATAATTAGCATAAAATGAAAATTTCTTTGTGCATAAAAGTTCATTAGAAAATGTATATGTCTCTCACATGGCCACAGTCATATATAAAAGGAATAGATATAAGTTTGCTTTCGAGGCTCACACAAACGATAGCCCATTATAATGTCATTTACACAAAAATGGCGCTGGAAAGTTCTTCCAAACCTGATCGAAATTGTGCGAATTCTGCCAGCCGCTCGACAACTTTAAGGCTTCGGAGAAAGATTTAATGACTGGTTCGTTAAGAGACCAGTCAAATTCATCATTCATCTTCGTTCAGTTCGTTGTCATCATCAGTGATCTGACACATATCTTTCGGCTCCTTGGTTGGCGCGGCGGTTCACAGTCCTCCGTCCTCGTTCGTCACTTCCTCGATAATCGTGTCTCTGATGTCTTCACGCCAAATTGGTGTGTCACTGTCATAAATTGTGCCATGTAAATTGATCTCAATTGTTATTTACTGTCGAATATTGAATGCATTTTATCAGACAGTCTGTCATCTGTCCGCTTAAGAGAGGTTGATTTGTCCATTGGGACCTCAAGTAAGGTGTCCGCGTCCGTTAAAGAGGGGTGTCCGCTTAATAGGGGTTATGATAATAGTATTTTATTAAAGAAAACGAACGGGACCTGAGATATGTGTCCGCTTAAAAGAGGTGCCCGCTTAAGAGAGGTGTACGCTTATAGGGGTTCGACTATATATATATTTACAAAAATTGTGATGTTACTTTCTTAACTGTGGTTATCTTAACCCACCCTGTCAACTTTCCCTGTGGAAGGAAACCGGAGCACCCCGAGAAAACCCACGACTTTCGGCAGAGCGTTGACTGACTCTTTTCACATGAGTCCGTAGCGAGAATCAAACCCACAAACTCGGAGGTGAAAGGAGGCCGTTTTCTCTGATGACAGCGCCGCCGAAATTCCAATACATATCTAGCGTCACATTTGATATGCATGCGCATAAGTTTGCTCGACAATAGTGGCACAAAGTCCCACATGGCTGAGCGTGTTCCTAAGATTGAACGCTGTTCATCTGTTTATTCACAACAATAAATAAATAATAGCAATTTATACCAACTTTAGCTCCATAATATGATTACACAGAATTATGCCACCACAATTCCCGCCAAAACTCTCACGATTGAGTCGGTACAAATCAATACTGGTCTGAGTCCCGACTCCGTGTATTACAAAAACGTTGCCACAATTTGTAAAACGCGGACTCAGTCCGCGTTTTCCCAGTCTAGCCGAGTCCGTGTTTTACAACATGCCGGCTAGCCCAATTGCCGGGATGAAAGTTCAAAGATACCGCCGCAATTTGTTTTTAACTTACTGTCAAAACAACATCAAAATAACAAAATTCCGGCTTCCACATAAACAGGCCCTACCTAAGAGTGATTTTCAGTAATTTCAGCGCTTACTTTGAGCATTTCAGTACAATACGTTTACGTTTCAACCAGGCCGTATGTATTTCACATGTTATGAAACAATGTTTTCTATTTTAATTTGTGTTGTGTGAATTTTGCAACACACGGCCACAGAATAAGATACACAGAAGGCCGACTTCTTTGTTTTTCCTATGTTTTTCCTATGATTTTGTCGTAACCCGTAATTCGTCATCAAATGCTGACGCCATGGGTCCAAGCCATTCACCCCCTGATAATATTCAAAATGGCGAACGTCCAGGAGGGGGGAATGCCTCTCAAACCCGCACTGGCTAGGACCATGGCGTCAGCATTTTGATGATGAATCATGGCGTGGCAGCGGTTACTCGAGTCGACTTTCTGTGTGCCTTATTCTGTGACACGGCACCTAATAAGGAGGGCCAGCTCACGGTTCAGCCGTTCCGCACGTTGTAACCAATGCTCTATTGCAATTGTAAACAGATTGTATGCAATAACTTGTTGGGTTGTATAAACCTAACCCTAATCCAATCCCAACTCTAACATAATCTAAATCTAATCTTAATCCGACACTATTCTAAACTTGATGACATTTTTTTCTAAAAGGGCCAAGTCCATGTTTTACCAGTCCAGTCCAGTCCAGTCCATGTTTTACCGTATGCCGTATCGCCCTGCTTTTATAACGCACATTTCAATGTAACACAGCAGTTTAATTGCTGCTTTGTTACTTGCTAGACATTTCTAGACTTTTGTGAACAGAACAACAACATTCCAAACATTTTAAACCAACCTTCAGCTATTAGGATAAATTACCCTAGCTATTAGGGTAAATCCTATCAGACAAAATTTGTTTGAAATGGTGACATTGAAAATTAAACAGCGACATTTGACGAAAACTCTGTATAATTTAGTCTAAATTCCGAAAGCGACATGCCAACGATTCAGATGAGCGGACATGCATATTGCCCCCAGCAGGGCCACACAGGGTATACCTTTTGTGACAAGGGTAGGCGTGCTTGTACATTTCGTTTGATAGCACGAACTCTGTTCCTGTTTACTTGTTCCTATAAAAATAAAGAATGTATAAACGCAAAAAGGCTTTTAATTCAGTTCAGTTTCAATAATAAACATGTCCTGTAAGATGTAAAGGAAATTCAAAACACAATGACATGGTTGTATATAACACACGCTTGTTTTGAACGAGGTTTTGAACGATTTTGCGAAGCTCTTGCTAAACTCTCGCCAGTCTTAGTATAGAATCAGTGCACTAATTCTCCGACAAACCAACATTAAGTTTTATCTTTTATTCAAAACTTTTAGAGTTCGCTCCCGATTAAAGTCTATAACATGCAAAGGACCTTCAAACATAAGTTCTTTGTATGTTTGCATGGCGATAAAACATATAATAGTTTTGTTTGTGCAGGAAACACCACGTAAATTTATTGCTGCAAAGCTTTCGATCGGTAAGCCCGGATCTTCATCAGTGATATTATTAGTACTGATGAAGATCCGGGCTTACGGATCGAAAGCTTTGCAGTAATAAATGTACGTGGTGTTTCCACAAACAAAACTATTATATGACCTTCAAACAGTTTTTTAGATACAAAATATTAGGCCTATACTGAGCTGGTCTGATGCCTGCATGGAAGGTATTAGGGTTCTCTATCCGCTATCAACTAAGGCAAAAATCATTTAAGATACTGACCTGAACTTTCCGAAGACTGGATCGCCTTACGAATACCAACAACACCACCAGCAACCACAATAATCAGCAGAACGATCAACAATAAGCACCAACGTTTTCGACCGCTGCATTGGATGTTGTTTTTCTTTTTGTACTCCGGGTCGACAACTTGCATGCCAAAGGAGACAGGCTTATCAAGTTTGTCCGCAGATGCCATCCCTATTTTTAAAACACACAATTTCTCGGTCAAACTTGGACGTTTTCGATCTCGTCCGCTAAGAGAGACAGCGATTCTACGAAAATGCACAGGGGGCGAGTCACAGCCTATAAAAGAGGAGATGGCTGTGAAACCATTAGGATAACAATATAACTCATTATCTATGATATCGTATTTTTGCCAAATCCACCAATAGCAATTTCCCCTATAGTTCGAGTCACGGATAAGTAACTTTCCTAAAACATTGTTATTGGCAAAAATACAATACACACGTGACGGTGAAGGACTATATTTATGAATAAACGTTGAGTAACATAAATAATGAGTTATATATTATTCTAATTAGTTTCGCAGCCATCTCCCCTTCCATAGGCTATTGGAAAATTCAGATCTATGATGCAGACAGGTTGCAACCCCGTCCCCAGGGTCTTCTTCTGATGGCACGCGAAAAAAGAGAAGACCCTGGTAAATACTGTTCTAAACTCCGTTGTAATTGGTTTATACATTTGACCTTGACATGTGCTTTGAAGATTTTGTTACAATAAATATGATTGGTTTACCGCTAATGTATGATTTATTACTAATAAAGATTTTCATATCAATAATTTGTTTACAGTATTCATGCATATACATGCTCCGACAAGGGCATACTTTGAAACGCCGACTGCACTCGGACCCGGACTCGAAAAAATTCCAGACTCGTAAAAACCCCGGACCCGAAAAAAATCCGGACTCGTTTTTGAGAAAACCCGAACTTGACTCTTGAAAACCCGATTCGAATAGAAAAAAAGCGGATTCAAAACAAGGACTCTGTGCACAAGAATGCATGGAAAGGTTTTCTGTAAAGGTTTAATTGAATAGTTAACATGATAAACGATAGTTTTCTTTATGACAATAATCACTATGTCCGAAATTTATGAGCTGCACACCGTTGTAAATTAAATGCGAAGATAGAGAAAGAAACAAATATTTAATACGGATAGATAATCACCAAACACAAGATTGCGTGGGAAAATTCCAAAATAATTACCACAAACAATCATTATAGCCAAAGACGATGCATAGAACCTAGGCATATAAATATGAGTAATCATGCTTTGAATAGGGATGATCGACTTGGGCTTTGTATTCATTTATATAAACCAGAGTATAGCGAGCGAAAACATGATTGATATATACCTGGTTGCTGTGAAGGAAATCAAGTTATATTGAGAATCAACATGCCACCCTCGTAGCTACTCGTAGAAGTATGCATAAATACATTTTAGTTTTTAATATAAGTGAATATTTTGTAACAGTAGAAAAAGATATGGAGATAAAAAATATCATTTATCATGTTAACTATTAAACCCGGTTTTTTTTCTATTTCGAGTCTGGGTTTTCAAAAGTCAAGTCAAATTTAACTGACCTATTTTCCATCAATAACTAATTACTGAGAAATGCATGCAAGAGTTGTTTCTTAAAGATGCTGTAAAGTCCGTTCTGTGCATATATTCTGCGCATCAACACATTCCATCAGTGGGGGAGCAACCTTTGGAATGTTGTTAATATTTCGCACCTTCAGAACTTTCTTGAATTGAATCTCTAGTCTGCATTCATTTACAAGCATAGCGAACCGGAAGAGTGTTAAAAATTCAGTATAATATAATTATATATATATATATAATCACATTTTACAACTGTAGCACTGAGTTCAAAATTTAAACAAAGCGTTTGTTTACATTACGGACTTTACATCACCTTTAAGATTACGTTTAAATCCTGAAATAGAAGTACAAAGTTTTAGATCATTGTTCAACGAATTCCAGAGGCTAACAGTTTGAAATTAAATGTTCGTTGCCCAGTCTTACTTTTAAATAGAGAAATGTCAATATTCTGCGAATTTCTAGTGGATCGCTTCGAGACGTCTGCGCGCGTCGTAAATTGGTTGGTCAGGTAGCTTGGTGCACAACCAGTCATACATTTGTATGACATGATGACCCGACGATAATATAATAAGCCCTCACTGGCAGCCAATTTAAGGTCTTGAGGACAGGAGTCACATGATCGTATTTCTTTGTTTCACTGATAATTCTGCAGGTAAAGTTTTGAACTGCTATAGGTTACGTTCAGTGGTGTTACTCCAGACGTTGGAACAATAAAACAATTTGCTAAAAACTAAGGCGTTTATGATTATTTCTAAAGAACGTTTAATCAAATGCGTGCAGTTTGACTCGATTTATTTGTCCCCAGCTAGACATGCAAGATGATACCAGAGACGTGATATGCTCATTATACGTCAGATTTGTATCCAGAATTACGCCAAGGTCTTTAGCCACTGTAGACGGTAGAATTTCTTTTCCTAATAGCGAAAGACGAAAGTCCGTAACTTTGGCAGACATCGTGCGACTACCAAACACAAGAAGTTTGGTTTTTCCGGGATTGAGGAGCAATTGGTTATCAGAACACCAACTCTGGATGGAAGTTAAGTCGCTGTTCATACGTTCTACAGTATGTTCCTGGTCTTGAAGGTAGAATGACATTACTAGCTTGGTACAGTGTCACCGTGTCATCGACATAGAGTTAAGGTGAGGAATTTCTTGAGATGGTTGGAAGGTATGCTAAAGAGAAGTAGGCCAAGGATAGAGCCTTGAGGTACACCACAGGATACTGGTAATCGATCAGACAAAGCTGTATAGATGCGGACTGCTTGGCAGCGACTGCATAACAGGATTCGGAAGCACCAACATCTTTTAACTTTGCGTAGAGTATCTCGTGATTTATACTATCGAAGGCTTTCGGCATATCGTGGAACACAACCGCCGAAAGTTTCTTTTTTCAATAGCTGATAATATTTCATCACTACTATATTTTTTTAATACGAGAAACCTCATGTCTGCTTCAAGTGACAGTTTAATATCATAAATTCACGTGGTGTTTCCACAAACAAAACTATTATATTTTATCACCATACAAACATACAAAGAACTTATAATACAAATTTACATTTGAATCAGTGAGGGGTGTAAAATAAAGCAAGTGTTCAAATCAATGCAGCCAAATCAAAATTGTTTGTCTCCACGCTGTACCTCCTCATCAATGGACAACTCAATGACAACGGGGTTGTGGACAACTGTGGTTCGGACATTGCAGGCTGGCTGCACATTTCCCAATGGTAGTAATCATACAGTTATTGGCTCATGCAATGAGAGTTTAGTTTGAGCTTACTCTATAGTTCCAAAACTTCCATACTTTAGTCCGCGTCCTCCATTTTCCCAATAGGTTTGAGGGTATTGTTCTGGTTGCCAGACAACGTTTCGCCATCACACATAAATAGTTGCAACAAGTTCGTACACGAGCCGATCTTTCGGTTCTCTGAAATTAATTATAAAACAAAAATTCAGTTAGACTGTGTCACAGTCACAGACTAAAAGACACAGACTAAGATGAGAGTGGCGCCTAAGACCATAAGTGCCATAAGCTTAAGGTTACAGAACACCTTTGAGTGTTAATTTTGCCTAAAATTGTTTTATTGGTTTCAATGAAAGCATTAGATTAGTTCTACTATTTGACCAAGTTTGAACGAAAAATGTTGAAAACTCGCAGAGTTATTTAATAAAATACATTTCGCTGCAATAAGAAAAACATTGAAAATGTAATATTCAAATTCAATTTTCTCACGAAAAATTTTACGGTAATTACTGATTTTCAAACGAGTTGTGCTCCTGCGGGTTTTAACCAATTTTTCTCAAATTTTCACAGGACATAGCTAAATACGTCAGTTTCAAAATTGTGTTCGGCTTTTTTTTAATTTTGGATATTTTAAAAATAAAGAGCCATTCACTCAAACAATTCAGAAATATATTGCAGTCGTCAAAGAAATCGCCATATCAGCGGAATGACGAAATAAACAAAAATTTCCGAACACAATTTTTTAGAACAACTATTTTACTGTATAAAAATGATATTTTCATAAATATAACTTAAAACCAGCAGGAGCACAACTCAAAAGCGTAAAGGTACCGCGATTTAAGATTTTCCCGACTAATTCTTACATTATTTTATTGTTTGTTAATTTTACAACTTTACCATATTTTGCATGCACTGGAGAACATTTGATGAAAATTTGATGAAAATTGGAATGATATTGAGCGCGCAGTATAGCGATTTTCCGCAAAACGCCCAAAAGGGTGTCCTGTAACCTTAATGTAAAATCTTGTTTACAGTCTTGTTTTTCGTTATTAGATAAAAGAGTGCTCAATACTACAAATATTTAGCATAGCGAATTAATTTGTTATCTTAAAATGTTTCAATTTATCACTACTCTAAGTTTCGCTTGACGATTGTCACAAATAGTGGTATGAAACTTAGCGATAAATTGATACATTTTAAGATAATAAATTTAATTTAGAGTTTAATTCCTGATAAGGAATGCCCGTTATTGGATCTTCATATAGGTACAGAGAGAGCTATCCAGCATAAAAATAGGAGTAAATGTTTAAAAATTAAGTTAAATTCTTAATATATAAAGAAATGACGCGATAAACCGGTAAAGACGCGAGTTTCTTTGTTAACCATTTACAATTGTCAAATTAAAATTCATTTACAACAGAGCTGTCAAATGAAGCGTGAAAATAAACCAGTTATACTATTGGAACAGCAGTGAATTTGAAAATGTGAATTTAAATTTGATTTAAAAACGAGATGGTCACTGTTCGAAGACAATCTATGCGAAAGACGAATTGCTGCAAGATATATTTTATAAGTCTTGTATTTTTAGCAGGTAGGTTATTAAAATATTTTGAATGTTTTCAACAAAATTAGCTATATCTTTACTACTTATTGTAATTGTTAAACAACAATAGATCTCGTTTTACTTTGATTTACATTATGATATATTTTGTTATGACTGCAACCCGTAGAATAACATGGAATCAATAAATATGCATTGTTTGGTAAACTGGTATTTATTTCAAACAAAAGGCGGTAAAAAACTGATCAGTTAATATTTACAGTAGATCATGAAACCTTGACGTTTCCTCACAAAAAATCACTCTACAGGCAAATAATTATCCTTAAAAATAAACATTTCCTGGTTTGCCCACCTTTGAAAAACATGGCTATCTACAATGTTTCTTAATTGTTGCCCATCTTTGGGAAGCATGGCTAAGAAACAATGTTTCCTGGCTTGTTTACCTTTGGGAAGCATGGCTATATAAGAAACAATATAATGTTTCTCAATATGTAGTTTTCCCATTTTGGGGGGAACCTGGCAAGGAAACAATGTTTCCGCAATATACAGTATTTGTGTTTATATACAGTATTAAACATGGCTAAAAGTTTGGGAAACGACAAAATTAGGTAGTGAGCCGGGCAGCTAACTTTCCAGCGCTATACTACACTGACTATATAATTATATACAGCTATTGCAAACTTTATTTATGCTGGACAGTTGTACCGCCTGTCTCTCTAAACTGTTCTCCTTAGTCCTTAGACGTCTGGTAAAACTTATTTACTCTGTATGGTACCCTGAGAAGAAAGCGGAATACCCAGAGAAAACCCAACCTAGTTCCCAGGGTCTTTAGGAGAAAATATTAGAATGTTAGGGTTTGTAATCCAAGTGAGAATATATACTGTACATTTTAAGACCTAACCAGGAACGACTGCGAAAAATGCAGCACAAGGTCCTCTGGTATAGGAATTGAACCTACGGCCCTGCGATTCTGGTGCAGCGCTCTAACCAACTGAGCTACAGAAGCCAGCTGTTGAGCTGTAACCGCAAGTTCATGTATATATAGGTAATCGGGTGTGCGCTGCACCGGAATCGCAGGGCCGTAGGTTCAATTCCTACCAGAGGACCTTGTGTTGCATTTTTCGCAGTCGTTCCTGGTTAGGTCTTAAAATGTATATATTCTCACTTGGATTACAAACACTAACATTCTAATATTAATTCCACCAAGTGAAGTGCAAGAATCCAAATTCTTTAGGAGAAAACCTGGGAGTTTGGTAGAGTCAAATGGATGCTATAGACTACATTTTGATTTCCGCACGTAATACAAACATATACAAAATTTGCAAACTTTGCCAGACTATATTTTCCAAGCTTTACAACATTTCGCAACCAAATTTTGCAATTTTACTAATTTCATTATGTTTTTTAGCTGTGGTTCGTTCCCTTCTCTTTACTTAGATTAAAATTTAGTCTAACATGCAAGTTGTCCATTAAAGGCCCTGTCACACTATTGCGCATGACAGAAACGTATGAGAAGCGTATGAAAATCAATGAAATAATTTTCATACGCACAAAAATCCTTTGAAATGCCAGCGTATACGAGTACCGTACATCTGGCGTACCTCTAGCGTATTCAGCGTGTGCCTAGAGTATGCTTATCGTTTAAAGCATACGTCCGATACGCACAAAATTTTTGAACATGCTTAAAAAAAATTTTCTGCCTCGCCGTATGCCAGCTGCCTCGTCCCCAGGCGCCAATAAAAAAATTCATGCGAGTCACTATATGAAAGGTTTACCTTTCATATAGTGATTCGCAAATTTTTTAACTAGCGCCTGGGGACGAGGCAGGTATGCCAGCGTATGCCACCGTATGCGACCGTGCTTGAAACGTATACAACCTATGCCAAACGTACCCCTAGCGTATGTCAGCGTATACCGGCGTATGAGTGATATTTTTCATACGCTGGCATACGCTAGTACGATACGCAATAGTGTGACAGGGCCTTAAGATTTCAGGATCATAAGGAGAGGCAAGAAGATTGAGGAACATTTTTCGAATTTTTCCCACACATACGTTATGGGAGAATCTTAAGAAATCATTATATCATACTTCCTAGTCAAGTATACTTTGTTGTTGCACACATAATGGAAAAAATTGGGGCAAAATTTTACACTTTTAAAGAACGTTTGAAAAAGGCAATTCAGGATACTATCAACAGGGGTGGAAAAAATAGGCGAGCACGCGAGCACTGCTCGCAGGAAATGTTAAACCGCTGCAGGAAATTCGTTTGAATGAAGATTTGCTATTGAAAATTTGAAGGAAACCTTAACACCCATGTCCCACTATGGGCCAACAACATATGGTTGACAGACATTATTCCTTGTATTTAAAACCATGGTCAGCTAGAACACTATATGTTTATGCACACGCAGATTTAGCACAAAAATACTCTGTTGGTCTGCAAGAAATTTTTGTCTCCAGGTTGTGCTCCCAGGAAGAAAGTTATTTTTTCCTGCCCTGACTATCAAACACTTTTTTAGGTCTTCTGAAATTATCACCAGACAGATGGATCAATTGAAACTTATAACATAAATACTGCATGAATTGAACCTGTGTTGCCGATATGAAAAACCATGGAACAGCCACAAACTATTTTATTCTATTAACAAAATCCCTTATTCTACAGGCCCACAGACATTTGTCCATGCTCAAGACTCCAGAGGGATTAGCCGGTCGGCACTTCAACAATTTTATAAAGGCAACACGGAGACAAATGGTGGGGAGAATAGAAACACTATCCCAAACATCAACTCCCCAGTTAATACATACCTTGCTATGAGTCCACCCCCTACCTCCATGCCCCTAGCCATTCCGCTTCCCTTCAGGTTGGGCGAGAGCGAACGCAAGGATACTTTACATAAATCTAAACATAAAAAACCCAGAAAATTAACAGAGTATCAGAAAGCACAATTGTGGAGGTATAAGCCAGTCCAAGGCACAGATAAACATTTGAAGGAAATTTTCATCGGGAAATGTTGGGAATATCAGAGGAAATTTAAGTTTCGGGAGTCGGTAGATTGTGCCAGATTATGGGAAGCTTTTTTGTCTGGGTTTGCATATAAGGAGCCGTGTGACGTGGCATTGGAGGATTATAAGGATTTCTTTGGTATGATCCATGAAGAACCTCTTGTTAACAAGGTGAGGAAAGACTTGGGCTATTCGAAAAACACATGAACCTCTTTAATGTAGGCACCATAAAGAAAGTATGTCTGTGTTAGAGAGGTGTTCATATTAGAGAGGTGTTCGTATTAGAGAGGTAACCCCATTAGAGAGGTGTTTGTATTAGAGAGGTGTTTGTATTAGAGAGGTGTTTGTATTAGAGAGGTGTTGGTATTAGCGAGGTGTTTGTACTAGTGAGGTGTTCATATTAGAGTGGTGTCTGTATTAGAGAGACATCTGTATTAGAGGTATCTGTATTTGATAGATTTTGTATTAGAGAGGTGCCCATATTAGAGAAGTGTCCATATTAGAGAGGTGTCCGTATTAAAGAGATGTCCACATTAGAGAGGTGTCCGTATTAGAGAGGTGTCCATATTAGAGAGGTGTCCATATTAGAGAGATGTCCACATTAGAGAGGTGTCCGTATTAGAGAGGTGTCCATATTAGAGAAGTATTCGTATTAGAGAGATGTCCATATTAAAGAGATGTCCACATTAGAGAGGTGCCCATATTAGAGAGGTGTCCATATTAGAGAGATGTCCACATTAGAGAGGTGTCCGTATTAGAGAGGTGTCCATATTAGAGAAGTATTCGTATTAGAGAGGTGTCCATATTAAAGAGATGTCCACATTAGAGAGGTGCCCATATTAGAGAGGTGTCCATATTAGAGAGGTGTCCATATTAGAGAGATGTCCACATTAGAGAGATGTCCCTATTAGAGAGATGCCCATATTAGAGAAGTGTCCATATTAGAGAGGTGTCCATATTAGAGAGATGTCCACATTAGAGAGGTGTCCGTATTAGAGAAGTGTCCATATTAGAGAGGTGTCCATATTAGAGAGGTGTCCATATTAGAGAGATGTCCACATTAGAGAGGTGTCC